ATATATATATATATATATATATAATAGAAGATGGGGTGGTTGGGGAGAGGGCGTAGGTCTTGTCCCCTTCTCGCCGAAGTGTAAACCTGTAAAGACTTGTAAAGACTAGACTGGGTTACAAGTGACAAGTCTGCGGAACACTTAGCATCTCACGGTTTGGTTTTATAATATTAGAGGGAACAGATAAATATTTAGAAGCTAGCCGAAGACTTTTATTTGACGAATAAAATACTATATATGTGGTTGAACCATTTTTTATAAATTAACCAATAAAGAGCAATAAAGATAACAATATCTAATTTAAGTGTCTTAGGAAAATGATTATTTACTCTGTCATATTATAAGCCCACTTTTACTTATTGAGCAAGTCAGCCGAAAGACGAGAAGAAGAAAAAAGTTGATATGTGGAAAGTGTTTGTTTCCATTTTCTACTTCTAGACAGGCTTCTACGTATTCGGAGATTTGGAAAATGGAAGCCATCATGCATAGATTAAATATTTTTAGTTGACTTCAGAATGTGATTTTCTTACTTTTTAGCATGCCTAGATTTATTTGACACAGACAAAATAGAAGTCTTAATTTATTATTATTAAAATCTCGTGTCATTTTTATTATGAGGTGAGAAGAGTCAATTTGGTCGCTTAGCTTAATCTTTTTTTTTTTTAACGGCAAATACACTAAAGAACTAGCAAGTTGCTAGCAAAAGATTACAAAGTACAAGCATAGAAATAAGACATACACCAATCAAACCAACAAATAGACTTAAACAAAGACTTATGCTTGATATAATTGAAAGCAACTAATTGGATTTCATCCGCAGTTTTAAAAGGGGAACATCTCATGTTGTTGAACACCAACGAGTTTCTCGTCTTCCAAATGAACCACAAAACCGTATATAATAAGGCCAAAAGAGCTTCTTTTGCTTTTTACCAATAGTCGGGGCTTCTAAGCACAACAAGAACTCTTCCATGCAACTCGGAATCAGCGGGATCACAGACGATCATCGAGTCGGCGACAGAGGAGTCGAGAGAAAAGCAACGAGAAAGAAAGAGGGCCCGAACTGCGGCGGACGAAACCTATTACGACTGACTCTAGTTTGGTGTCAGCCGGTTGTTTTATTATTTAGGCAGAGAAGAAAAGAAACAGAAAAATAATGAACATAATGAAGGCACCTCCGACGACTATTAGAGAAGGTTGTCGGAGGTGGAGGGCGGCGATTGTGGGTTGTTGTCAGCAGTAGGGTTTTTAACCTAGAGTTCTGATACCATGTAAGATAATAGATTGTTTTTATTGTTATATAATAGAATGTCTCATTGATAAATAGTGATGTTAAACCTTATATAAATAGGGATACATAAGAGACCTAATCTAAACTCTAAAGGGCTTGGGCATAAACCCTAATCACTAACATCCCCTCGCAGTTTGATCGGGAGGGGACAATTAAACTAGAAAAATAAAAATATAAAACATAACATAAATGAAGACAGTGGCAACGACTGGTAGAGCTCTGAAGATGACAGATAACAACATCTGCTCGTTGGAGAAGGAGAATGAAGAAGCGGCGGCCAGCGGTGATTCCTTTGTATAAGAAGAGAGGAGTGGCGATGGTGACGATCATCGAGTCGGCGGCAAAGGTGTGCAGACAAAAGCAGCGAGAAAGAAAGAGGACCCGAGTTGCGACAGACGGAGTCTATTCCGACTTACTCGGAAAATAGATCTGAAGAAAAGGCAAGTTGAGGAGAAGGCAGAAAGCTTAGAGGCAGGAGCCATCCGACGAGGAGACATAAGCAAACGAGACAGTAGAAAAAAGTTGAGGTAAGAGCTCTAATTTGATGTCGGTGACTGTTTTATTATTTAGGAGGAGAAAAAAACAAACGAAGAGAATATGAAGCATAATGAAGGCACCTCCGATGACTATGAGAGAATGTCATCGGAGGTGGAGGACGGCAGTAGCGGGTTGTGGTCAGCGGTAGGATTTTAACCTAAATCTCTGATACCATGTTATATAATAGAATGTTTCATTGATAAATAGTGATGTTAAACCTCATATAAATAGGGATACATAAGAGCCCTAATCTAAACCCTAAAGGGTTTGGGCCTAAACCCTAATCACTAACAACTACACCAAGAAGAAAACCAAATCAAAGAAGAAAAAGAATATCAGAAAAACATGTGATCGACATACTCTTCTACATTTCCGCACATCGCACAAACATCAAAAAAACACGTGATCGACATACTCTTCTCCATTTCCACACATCGCACAAACAGTGGAGTTAAGCACAATCCCTTTATTGACCAAATTACAAACCAGCAGTATCCTATTCATAAGCACCCTCTAAACGAAACAGTTAATTTTGATAGGAATTTAATTTACCCGGAAAAAAAAAGGCCTGCAAAGTGCCGCTATCATACAACTTCTCCATTCATGATAATTGGAGAGTTTGAAAAATATGAAAACATTTAATAGAAAACATGACCAATTATACAAGAACAAGCTCAAATAATTCAAAAAAAATCGTTTGCAATTCTTTGCATACATATCTCATTGTTAAAAAAAAAAAAAAAAAAAAAAAAAGGATAACATATTGAACTGGAACCTTATTTTAGTCATCTGCTAAAGTTCTACAATAATATAAAGGTTAATCTCATAACAGCCATTAGTTATACATTATCTTTCCAGTTAACCTAATACTTCTTTTTTTTCATTTTCATAATATCCATTAGCTTTTTAGGGATGATATATTCTCTTTTAACTTGGCTGTTTACCAAAAGATTGAAGCTGGCATGAACAGCGTGACCTGTTAATTACGAATATTTGTTAGATGCGTTCGAGTCTAACTCCCAATGCTTCCTACTTACATTTTTAGGCGATGCCATGGAAATTAGTTGCTAGCTAATGTGCAACCTCAAACTTTTGCTGAACAACCAAGTTCAAAAAGATAAAATCATTCGATTTCTTTTTTAATTCGTGTTTCTCTCTAATATTTTTTATTTAGTTTTAATCCAACGTTTGATTTTGATACGGTTTATGTTGGTCGCTTGAATAAGGATTTAATCAATCTAGTTAATAAGTAAAATCGACAATTGTTTTATTTAGGGATGAGCAAAGGAACCCATCCGGCTGGAACCAGCTCGGGAACCGAACTTGGTGGAAAATAGGAACCGAACCGGACCGCCAGTTCTACTGGTTCTGATTCCTACCGGTTCTTGTCGTGTCTTCAATGTTGGAACCATTCCTCGAGAAATAGCAACATATGGTTCGGTTTTTGCCGGTTCTACCGGTTCCCGGTTCCAAAAATCCACAAGAATATCGTCCCGATCCCGGCCCGACCAGTTCCATCGGGTTCCAGTTCCGGTATCGGTTCCCCGGTCCATATGCTCATTCCTAGTTTTATTGTCTGATAATAAGTAACAAACATCAAATTGGTTCTATGATGGGATGTTGAGATTTAATGTTGATGTAAATTGAAAATTACATATTTTTATGTAAATGAACCAACTATAAATATTGAATATTGCTGAAAATTTTACACAAATCGTAATGTGATTTTTTTCTTTTCCGATTTAGAGCTCGTTTATTTTAAGTTAGAAGAATCATGTTTAATTTAAGGAGCTTGTTTTGGTTTAACAACTTTGTAAAAATAAGATTGTTAAAGCTTTTTAGTGGTTTTACAGTACCAGTTTAAATTAGGAATGAGCTTTTTAACCGAAAAACTAAATCGAAATCGAAACCAGTTAGAACCGATTAGTGGTATTCGGTCCGGTTCTCCTAATCCATCATTTTCGGTTATTTCAGTTCCTGTCCGATTCTGATACCAAACAAATTCTTAAATAGCACACTTCCTAATAGAACCGAACTAGAACCAATTAGTAGTATTTGGTCGGGTTCTCAGTTCCCCATTCACTCCTTAATCGGTCTTCGTTTATTCTGGTTTCGGAACCGATTACATCCCTAGTTTAGATATAATGCATTATAAAGAACCAATTCGTTGATTAAATACATAATTCGGAGATTCACCACATAACTGAATTCATCTTTTAATTCTAGATTTTTACCAATAAGTTTTTATACAATTTTTATTTAGTAATAAAAAATCCTCCTTTTTTACCACTTGTCAGACTAGTGAGTGTCTTGCACAAAAAAGCATTAAATTTATGGCATGTCCATGTGGATCGATCGACCCTGCTTACAATGTAACTTTTTTGCTCCACAGGCAGGGGTTTTATACCCTAATTGTTTGTTAGACCCGACAACTCAACACTAATCAATTGGATTTATGAATTTATCTAATGGATACACACCAAGGATAGTTCTTTTATATTATATAGGATGGATGGATAATCAATCAGATCATTTAGTTAGTTTGATTATATGGATGGACATGAGACATTGATCATATGAAAGTATCAACTAGATGGATGAATTGATCGGATTGATAGAGTAATTCGATCACCTGGTATATGGATGAGGATAGATTTGATGGTATGATGGATGGATAGATCGATTAGGTATATATAATGGTTGGCTTAATTACAATAAACATGTAGATGATATGGGTGGGTGGATTAGATGGATATATCGGGTAGATAGATTAGACAGATGTATCAAAATGATGGACTATCTAGATGAATTAGTTTGATGGATTATAGTTTGGATTGAATAGAAGTATGGATTGATTGGATGAATCAGGTGGATCGATCAAATGGATGAATAAATTGGGTAGAACGAATGATGGATGCGTAGATTGAATCGGTGGACTGATTAATTAGATGGATCAAACTAATGGATTTATACATCAATTTGATGCATACTGGATCAATATGATGGATGGACACGTCGATTAGATGCATTATGGATTAAATATATGGATAAATGGTCCTATTATATCAAAATTATAGAAATGATCACTATGTGATACCAAAATTACAAAAACGGTCCATATGTAAAAGAAAATTACACTCATGGACCTGTATAACAGCAAAAAAAATATAGTAATTCTCATATCATATTTTCATCCATTGCATAATCCTTTTATTTAGCACACACAAATGCCTCTCTTTACTTTACAGATAAGAGGTGACAAAGGTTAGATTATAACTTACATAAAACAATTGATTAATCCTCAATCAAGCTTTACGAATCCGATCACGCCATGAGCCTTGTTGCAATGACCTAACCTACATCAACAAACAAAACCAGCATCAAGAAATCAATCACAAACTTGAACAATCAAAAAGATTCACATTTCACATACCTGATCACTTATAAGACTTGTTGCAACAGGGGCAGTTTCGGGACTTTCTCTTGTAATATCATTTCCTTCTGCTTCACTGTCTGTATCCACAGGTGGTGCAAGCGATGAACTTCCAAAAATGGCCTCATCATGAGTAGCCTTGATCTTTTCCTCCCTTCTTGCCTTCATGATATCAAGAATTCAAACTCAAACACATTTGCAGAATCACAGCTCCCATTAATCGGAATACGTGAAAAGAGAGAAGGTGTAGATTGGAAAATACCTCCACAGCAGAAAACCGAAAACTTTGACCAATGTGCTTCACTAAATCGACATCATCTTCTGCAGCTGAAAGATGCGTATGATAGTATATGAGCATCTACCTTAAAAAGTTACATTGTGAAAGATATATTTAGGTGAATCATGAATGTTGATTAAATTTAACCTTCAATCTCCTCATCATCAAGTGGAGCATCTTTATCAAAGTCAAATCTCTCCCATCCTGATCCCATGCCATTTGCTTCGTCTTGTTTGGCTGCAAATGATATAGCAGTTAGCAATTAGCATGATTCAGTAAGTAATAATCATACTCCATTACATTAGGTTTACCAGTTGCAGAAAGCTGGAGCTTCATCTTTGCTTTGACCCTTTCTGCTGGTGACTGCATGCAACACAAAATACATTCGTTAGCCAGTGACTTCATTGGTAAAGAATCTGAAATCATAAGTTTGATCCTGCTTGAATTCGAATTGGAGTGAACAAATTCTAGTTTCGTGTTCCATCAGAATTTTGGCATTTGTTATGATAAATTGACGCAAAAGGATTTTGACAAGGGTACCATTTTATCATAGCCTTCAATCAATTTTGCATAATCAACTCTACCGGTTTTCTCCTTTCTAGCATTCCTGTCATCATCATCAGCTCTGCTCTTTTCCGATCTCCGATGCAGGGGAGACAAGCTTCTACTCCTCCTCCAACTTTCCTTACCTCTATCCCTATACCGATCCTTTTCTTCCTTCCTATCTCTATCTCTACTACTCGACCTATGCCTACGCCGATTCCTCGAACGCTCATCACCATCTCTGCTTCTGCTTCTACTTCTACTTCTACTTCTCCGACGTCTCGAAGAATGTTTATCACTTTCTCTATCTCGAAAATGATGATCGTCTGAAACCCTAGACGAAGAAGACGAATTAGGTTTTTTCTTGAGCTTGTTTTGGATAGATTCGATTTGAGCTTGTTTCTGAACATCAGAAGACTTAGAAGGACTCGAAGCTCTGACGAAACTGCTGAGGAACGACGAAGAAGATGGAAGAGCCGAGCCTCTGGCGGGTACTGCATCGCTATGGTTGCTGTTACCGGTGACATCGGGTGAAGAAGAGGAAAATCCAAGCCCTTGTTTAAATCTGGCGGCCCCACCGCCTTTGCGAGTAAGCTCATCGTAGTACGCTGCAGCTTTTTCTTCCTCCATTGATATTGATTGATCTCCAATGGCGATGAAGCTTGGAGAAAGAGACGAACTGGGGGGTTAAACTGTAAATTGATATGACTTTTAGGTCCCTATAAGTTCAATTTATACCAAATTGAACCTCTAAGAAATTATATATACCGTAAAAGCTTAAAATGCTTAGCTGCAATAACTTTTATTCTCTTTCATAATTGGACACGAGACTTTTTTTTTTGGTTTTTCGACACTGATGTTTTGATTTTCCTTCTTCTGTACACACCTCATATCTTTTCTCCTTCTTATCTTCTCTTCTTACGGAAGTTTTCTTCCTGATTTTAAGGGCACAATGACAAATCCTTTTTCTCCTTCTTCTTTTAAGAGATCGACTTCAAAATATCGGCTCACCGACTTCACCTTCCAATCATATAAACACCGCCTCTTTCATCCCACCCCGCATAATACAGTCGATGTCTCTCTACAATACATTTTATTTCTTGGAGTCGACAATCCAACCAGATACGGCGTTGGAGTCGCTGAAGGACGGAGATGTTTTATTGGTGACGACGGTCTGAGGTCAGTTTCTGCTCCACCGTCTTATTCCTCCATTGACTCTTCTCAAACAGACGACGATAGAGGGGACCATTTCCGCTTCCACTTTCTGGTTTTTTTTCTATCTAAACCCTTCTTCGATTTCACACATACAAAAGTTGATTTGTTGTATCTTTCTCTCAATTGCATCCAATAACCTGATTGAGGAAAATATCTGTTGTAACTGGTGATGTGAGGATGTCTTACTTTGCTGATAATCATCATCAATGAATTCAAAGTAACCTTCGTATTTGTTACGATCGTTCACAAGGATTGACAGTAAGTTATTCTAATAAAACCTTATGGGATAGTCCGTCTATAGTTAACAGGGAATTGGGAGACCTAAAATCAGCCGACATAAATAACTTTTTTTAGGGTTTTCATTGCTTCTGATTTATTCAGTTTTATTGGAAGACCGTCGGATCATTGACTTCTTCTCAGGAAACTTCCAGAAGAGGAGCGGTTTGTTTTTCTTCTGCCCGATGCATCAAAAGGCCATCAATCCTCCCACTCATCTGCTCTGTTATCTATCGATTAGCTGTTGTTAATCTTGATCTTCTTCAAAATTCAATTAGGTAAACCGTCATCACTTCACCTTCTTAATTTTTTTTTGCAATTAGTGATTTCGTGTATTTGTTAATATATTGGTTCATTTTAGGTTTCAGTCACTATTTGCTCTCATTCTCCCTCATTTTCAATTCTATTGGTCTAGAATTTAAAAGGAAGAGGGAAAAGTACTTCAGTATTGCATTTACTATTTATTGTTGGCTGTATTTTCTCATAGTCATTCTTGCTGTGAGGTTTGGCTTACTCTAATTTCATGGATAAAAATCAAAGGTAATATACTTTCGTTTTGGGTACTTGAAAAATGCCTAAAGTAACCTTCTGTGTGTCTTTGTAAATATCAAAGGCAATATACTTTCGTTTTCTGTACTTAAAAATTGTCTAAAGTAACATTTTAGTTGTAGATCCAAGGACAACAGGAGATTAACAATCTCGGAAAGGAATTACAAGAAATATCTAACATTTATGAAGCAGCTCTTCATGAACTTGACTTAATGAAGATAGAATATAAAAGTTTATTATTAAAGAAAGTAAGAAAAATGATACCTCTACAAAACATAAATTGCTCATGAGTTATGACACCTTTTCTTTCTTACTGTAAGATAAATTAACCAATGAACTTTGCATTGTCAGAGAAGCCCTTTCACTTGTGAAAAAACAAAAGAAGGTAGTTGAAAAAGAGGTAGTAGCATAAGAAATGCAGTAGGTGAAAACTGACGATGGCTTTGAGGTATTTTACACATTTTTTATATTTTCAATGTTGGATATCTTCAAGCTTATTGTTTATTTTATTTAAATTTCTAATAGGACAAGAAACCATACATAAAAGAAAGAAACCTTATCAGCTCCGCCAACATGTTTTAACTGACATTCTGCAAGACCCATGGATCAGATGCATATTTTTTCTGAGTATACAGGTAGTGTCATGTTATTATTATTATTATATCAATAAGTAAATATATATTGATTAACGAAATACATTTTGCTCCAGGCATCTGTTTCACATGGAAAGCTGTAAACCCATCATGGAAGATCACTAAGAATCAGACTTCTATAATTCAACATTTTTCTTTATTTTCAATTGATTAGTTACATATCAACATTTATAATCTATCCTACCTTCAAACTTTCTCAACAACAAATGTATACACTATTCTTAGTAATCTCCAACTTTATTTATGTTAACATTTGTTGCTATCTGCTCTCCGTTAAAATTATTGTTGCATTTTGACTTCTTTCAAACTGAAGTCAAGGAAACTGTGTTATCAGTCAAAAGTCACAAAATAGAAATTTATCAACATTTAAGCAAACCTATCTAACCCGGCGCCAACGGCGTAAGTAATTCCTTCTAGTTAGAAGTAGGGTTGAAAAATAGTAAATTGTTTTAGGCTAAGTTCGACCTAAACTTGATAATTGGATGAATCGACTTATAGTTAAAGGACTGTAATAATTTTAAAATAATATGTGCAAAACAACTTTTCTTTGACACTGAAAATATTCATAAAAGTTTGATACTCAAAAACATTTATAATATTCAAAAAAAGTTTGATACTCAAAAAACATTTATTAGAATTTATGTTGATACGTTAAGGTCAACTACACTTCAATAAAGGAGAAGCCCAAAGCTATGGTAAGTGGTAACTATTGTGATATGAAGTTACTTATTCCTACTACAAAACAATATGAGATAGTGATGAATGTAGGTTGCATTAGGTAAAAACTACATTTAAAAATCAAATTCAACTTTATATCAAGGTTGTCGACGATCGAGGCAATTAACATCCTTAGACACCTTATTGATAAACAAATATAAAGAAAATAGGGATCCCGATGCATTGTTTAATGACTTGGAGAAATGATATGATTATATACCATTGGATACGATTTGGACCTCTAAGCTCAAAATATGACATGGTGATATATCAAGGTGATCTTCAATATTTATTTTTTGGTCTACAACATGTTTTTGAATTGTGGTTTGGCAAAATGAAATACTTCCCTATAGAATTTTGGCTTCATCAAAGATCGACTCTTTAACCTTTACGCATTCACTTTGATTATAAAAATGTTTGTTCTTCAAATTCAATTTAATGGCAAGGGTTGGGACTGAGATTAATGTCGAGTTAGATATATGGAGGACAAAGCCGAGAAAAAAAAGTTTACAAATCTTAATTAAGATTGAATATCAGTGATGCAATTTTAATAAATATGTGTATTGAAGGGGATTAAGTATATATTAGTGATTAAGTTCAACATCCAAAGGATATTTTTAAGTACTTCAAGGCTAATGGCCCATAGGTTGGCAATCTCAACTTTAACCTGTTAACCCAATATGAACCCACCCTAGTAATTAGTAGGTTGGGTTGAGATTTTCAACATGTTTATGCAAACGGATCAACTCGTCCCATTTAATTAAATGGATTGGGTTGGTTTTGAAATTTTCGACCTGTTACAACCCACCAAATTGTTTAATTTTTTTAAATATTTTTAAATTTTGCTTATTTAGTATTATTATTATTTAATTGATTATTGTATATTGATTATTTTTAGTTTCAAAAAAATATGGGTGAGTAAACGTTATTGGAAGTTGAGTCTTTACAAGTGAAAATTAAGTTGCAAAAAATTTAGAAATTAAACATTATAATGTTTTATGGTGGTAAACATTTTATTTGTGTTTAATGAACTTATAGCCTTATAATTGTATTATTTTCAAACTTGAACAATTATTGAAGTTTTTTAGGTTTTTTTTAATTTTATTTGAATGATTATTTAATTATTAAGGGTTTTTTGGAATATTGAAAGGGTCAACACATGTTTAGCCTATTTATTAAACAAGTTAGAAAACAATAAACATGTCAACTCGATTTTAACTCATTTACTAAAAAGGTTGGGTTGGGTTGTGAATTCACAACATGTTTACTTAAACATGTTGGTTACGGATAGATTTTTGATTTGTCCAATTAAACATGTTAACCCGTTTAAAACCCAGCCCAACTCATTATCATCCCTATGCCCATAAAGGAGATTATCATCCCTAAAATTGGCCCATAAAAGAGGTTTGTTGATGAGAGTGTAAGAAACACCTCTCATACGTCCTATTTAATATAATCTTTTAAAATTATACTTATAAAATATTTTCATAAAAAGAAAATCATTTAAAAATCTATTTGCAGATAAAGGTCTCAAACGCTAAACTCTTAACATTTAAAAATATTTAAATTATCAAGACACACAAGAATGTAACTGTAACACCCTGTTTCGGAATATTCTGTGATTCACGGCCCGTGGACCGCAATTCGCATATGGAAGGTTTTGGGATTGACAAAATTGCAAAAATGGTCCCTATGGTTGTCAAAATTTTGCAGTTTTGGTCCAAAAAAGTTTGGTGGTGCATCATGTCACACCCCCAAACCAAGGATGGCGGAAACGTCCGGGGGTGGAGGACTTCACGTATAGTATCACAACAACGAGTATAATAGTGTTCAAAGTAAATACAACCAATCATAAATATAATTGAAAAAGTTACACCAAAGCATATGTTTACATGATTCAATATCAATTACATTATGATGACAAAATAACTGTTTGACGATTTAACGTCTCATCCTCAAAGTGCTGATGTTTTCCTGTTTCACTGATTTCCTGAGAATACAAGTAGTTTTGAAAAAGTGTGTCAACAATTAAGTTGGTGAGTTCATAAGAGTTTTGTTTGAGAAAGAAACCGTTTTCCTTGTAAAAACGATAGAGTATGATTTCCAGAAAATCAAATATTTTCCTTAAAGAGTGAATCGTAAGTTTCTATGTTAGTAAATAATGCATCCTAGAATTTCCTATAGTTTCCTTCCATAATCTCTAAGTGTATATAAGTTATATACAATTTAAGTTAAATAAACCGTTGAATATAATGGGTCTGCCCTAGGTCC